GGAATTAAACAATGTGTTATTATTCCAGACAAGTTCAAAAATGGAGTTTAAAAATAAGAAGTTAAAATGCCTGAAATTAGAAAAAAAACTTGAAAAATCACAACCGTGTAGTAGCCTAAAGAACCTTTTAGCACAGCCTGTGTTCCTTACCTCATGTTTCTTGAGCAGACCTATGACAGCCCTGAGATCTCGGCCTGTCACCATGGACTTGGCCTGCCTTTGTTTCTCCAGCACCCAGCTCTCCTCCTCTTCACTGTCCTGGATGAACTTGTAAAACTTCAGCGATTCCTGGAGACGTTCACCTCTGATAGTGCTTAGCTTCTGGAGGCTAGATTGAAAAAAGAAATAATTTCACTAGTATTATACAATTTTTTTTCTGTTGATGTACCTTTTTAACTGTTTATAGAAATAAGATTTATTTGAAAGAATTTCAGAGATTATTGTACAGGTGCAATACTTAAAAGTTTTGTTATGAAATATAATACATATATCAATGTTCAATAAGATGTGAATAAATCTCTTTAAATACAGCTAAAATATTCTACCTTAAAATTTTCAAAATCTTTACTATTCTAAACTATATATTACAAAAAATCTCTGTGTTATTTTTCAGCATCTCAAATCACTACCACACTTCTTACCAAACATACTTACTTTTCATAATCCTTATTGAGGTTCTCCAGTCTTTTCAATAGCACAGCGGTCTCTGCCTGATTCACGTGACCATATTCTCTGGCCCTCTTGTTAAGACCCTTGACCCTTTGGCCTTGGGCCTGGATCTGTGTTTCTATCAGACTGTGCTTCTGTAACAGATCTTCTACTCCCAGTAAATGCTTGCCAAAGTCTTCAGATCTTACACTTCCCTGAAAAAAAAAAAACAGGTATTTAACTGAGTCACAGATTGTGTTCAAGTGAAGTGAAATGAAATTTTTAAAAACTCTCTGGAAGATATGTATTGTTACAGGTATATAAACCCGGTATTCAATTGAACAATAACAGCAGTTAAATTGACTAATCATTGAAAATATTGCTATATATCACAATAAATTTTCAAAAAATGTACAATTATTAAGTAATGCAGGAAAGTACTGCATTATGGCTTTTAAACAATATACATATTTTTATAAATTTTTTCAAAGACAATAAACAAAAATCTAAACAGAGAATTAGAGTAACTTGAAAGCTGAAATGAGACAGAGATGCCATACCTCAACTTCCTTCATTTCAGCCATGATGCCCTCTATCTCTCTGAACATGCCCATCAGTTCATGGAATCCCATCAGAACACGCTTCTTATTTTCAAGCTGGTTCTGTAAATTCCTCCATTTCAGGCTGATCAGTTGTTCCCTAAATAGATAAATTAATAAGTAAATAAATAAATATATGATATTTGTATAAGTTCATGAACTTCATATGTGATAACAAATACTCTTACTAACAATAAGTTGTAAAATTTTCTATATAAATTGAAATGTTCTTATTTACATACTTATAATTGGAAACAAAATATCAAACTGAGACTGAAATTGCACATTTTGCTCTAAATTTCTTACCTTTTGGCAATGGTCTCAGCACTGTGGAAATTACCATCTAGAAGTTCTTGTGCCATACTCGAGAGGGCTTCAAACCTGTCTTTCTAACAGATGTAAAGATGGGTGCATTTTAAAACATATGAAAGAGAATAAACCTGATACGTTAATTGTTTATCACTTTTTGGCCATTTTTGTCATTAAACTTCCAATGTAAATAACATAAAATCAAAAATCACACCTGAAATGCACTTTATCTATGTAACATTTTGCTTTAAACAGATATGAAAATGCATTTATAAGTGGGGGATTTCAGATCCTCTCAGCCCCTTTTCACATCAAGCAGTGCCTGTAACTGAATCAGTCCACTCTGAGAGGTCCTAACATGTAATGATTAAAAAGATTTTTCCCACATTTTCACACATTCTTCACAAGTTTACTTATTGCTGTGAATTTGGCTGGAGGGGTGAAGGGTGGGCTCCATTTCAGTGACTCTCTTAAAAAAAAAGCAACTATACTAAAAACGTTTATCCCTCACAGTTGAATGTATTGCTGGATGAGAAAAAGGTCTTACTCTTGATAAAATATCAGCAGTGATGGCCTCGTATTTCTTGACAGCTGCTTCCACCTGGGAGGAGTCTGTTCCTGTGGTGTGTTCTGACACCACCTGGATCATGTCAGCCAGCCAGGATTCCCTGATGCCAGCCTGGAGGAAAGAAAGACTGTGCTAATTACTTGGAACATGATGCTAATTACAGACAAGTTGAAACTGTTAGTCCTACTGGTCACGACTGATAAAATTTTCAAGGACTGGCATAAAAGTGCATTCAGTGGTCCAAGGAACCTGCAACAATTTTAAGAGATGCTATTCAGTCCAACAAAAAGTTCTTCAGTCTGGCAAATTTTTTATAACTGCTGGCTCAAATATGCAGTTGTTTTAAAAAAGACTTAATCAAATCTGTAATTAAAGGAGAAAATAACTTGTGTTAATTACATAAAGTAATTTAACAAATACAGTACCCTAATATTCAGCGTATTAATGATGAGCATTATACTTTTTTGTCACTACATAATTCAATCCTTGATGAAATGATACATATTGTGTTAACCACTAACCTTGCTTTCAAACTTAGCTGACAAACGCTCCAGTTTTTCTTGCCTGAAATTGGTAAGGTAAGTAGCAGTAGTAAAACTTAATTTTACTAATTATAAAAACACAGTAGAAAACTTATCTTTCTCATGAACTTTCAGTAATCATTCAAAATAATAAGAACACAGTTTTATTGCATATTACTGATTTGAAACACAATGTTCAAACAGTTACTTATTCATAATGCCACTATTGAAAACACTTATAACATCTAAATAATCTTTACAAAGACCCACAGAAAAAATCTTTGTGTGTGCCATCTAAAAAAAATTATAATAATACAGTAATAATAATAATAATAATAATAATAATAATAATAATAATAATAATAATAATAATAGCAATAACAACATATTTACTCCAATATTTATTTATCCAAAGTCTAAAAGCCATAAAATATGACTTAACACAGAAACAGACAGTGCTTTTCACGTAAATACAAATTTTTACTTGCTCAATTATTTAAGATGCTCAATAATAAAAGATGGCTACCTTATCATTTCTTCCCTCAGTGCCTTTTCTCGTTGATATTCAGCTTTCTCCAGTCCTGCCCAGGCCCTCTCCAAATCACTGACCAGCAGACCCTCACGGGGGATATAAGCCTTTTGACCATTAGCCTTTAACTTGGCTTGAATGTGAAATAGCTCCTCTTCAAGTAAGCCTTTTTCTTTGTACCTGCAGAATAAGGAATATATACAAGTCAGATCTGACCATTTTTGCAACTTGTTAAAATTTTTCATGATTTGTTCCTTTGGGGATGGTGGGTAGGGGTTAAAAAGTCTACCAGAGCCATGAAACACTATGTTCAAAATCAAGGAATTCCACTACTTACCTGTATTTAGTTCTTAATAACTGTTTCTAAAGAGGCTTATCATTTTTTTTCTGATTACCATCTTAACAACAGGCAATGGAAAACTAAGTGCATTATATAACATGAAAAATAACAGAAATACAGATAGAAAAAACAATGCTTATAAACAACAAAGAACATTAAACTTACTTTGGTGGTTTCTCCAATGATATGTAGTCCTTAAACTTCAACATTTCTTGCTGCACCCCATCCAAAGTGTTAGGAAACCTTCTAAGGCTCAGCTCTTTCACTTTCTGTTTGATCCACTCCAGTAGAGCAGTGCTGGCCTGTTCAAAGTTCTGCTTCATCTGGTCTATGGCCATCACAAGTCCAACAATCTATAAAAAATATTAAGGGAAAAATTTTGATAAAACTTACATTGACTATTAATGCCCACTTCAGTATCAAAAATGCTTTTTTTTATTTTGAAAATAAAAATGCACAATGTATGGTGCCTTATCGCACTGTAGTAAATTGCTGCTCTGAACAAGTACAAGCATTACATCTTCCATGACAGAGTGAAAGTCCAAAATGGCTAAAGTTTCACCAACAAGAATGCATTGACCCTCTTAAAATACTAAAGAGCTACAGACATGCAGTAGCAAAACATTTAAAGACTCCAGCATATATGCCGATTCCCTTCTTATAAATACTGTCATGAAATGGGTTCCCATGGTCAGTATCAATATCTTATTTTTATGCCTATCAAATCCTGTTTTTATGAAAGTCAAGGTGAGCTTTTCAGAACAGAACAGAATTCAAAATGGTGCAATCCAGCTACTTCGGAGTATTAAGTGCAATTTCCAGTGTTTGAAGTTCACCTTTGCTATCCTCTTTCCTCCAGTGATTCCTGTCTTCATCTTAGCAAAGTGATGGTAGTATGCTGCAACATATGTTATGATGGATCTCTCATCTGGTTGTTCTACAGCAACATCTAAAGATATTTAAGAAAAAACTAATTTCACAACTATTTTCACAAATTAGTAAAACTTGCTTTTGATGAAATTGTTCCTATATGTGCTGATCCTCTGTCACCTGGTGTGTGTGTGTGTGTGTGTTTGTGTGTGTGCGTGCGTGCGTGCACGCATGTTTGTGTGTTGACATGAATGTCTGTGTCTGTGTATGTGCAGAGATGCACATTCACATTCAAGCACATGTATTTGTGTTGGAGTAGGAGAGTGATGGTTCCCATGGCTCTGCAAATAAAGAAAGGGAAGAGAGATGGATCACCTGTTTTTTTTTTTTAAACAGAATTGAAATCTGACTGCCAGTCCTGAGAAACAAAGTTTGTACTTCCCTTCTACCAATAAAGTTAGCTTGCTGTTTTACCTTCAGCATCCAGCAGCTTGGCAATACCAAGCTTCTCCTGTGCAGTGTAGAAGGCATTGTTCAGGTTGTACAGAGCATTGCTGGGCTTTAAAAGATCATAATCAATAAGTTCAGGTCTGAAACGATAAAAATTATACTGTATGTTCATTTTCAGCTCAGGAAAGCAGACTTTTCAATATTGTCGATTTAATTCCTAAGTCAACAAATAAAAAATTCACTCCTGTTTAGAAATAATACATCCAAGTCTTGAACGAGCATTGTGAAAACAAAAAAAGATCACTGCTCTTATATATTATATGCCCCAATGACACGTCATGTGCCTCAAAGTCCCAATGCATACTACTTAAAGTGCTTACATGACACACTTTAACAGCTAAAATTCTTCAGAAACCATATAAGGCCCTATTTGTATCATGTGGTATACTTTAGCAATACAGTCCATACCAGTACAGAGAGAGAGAGAGACTGAGTCAGCTATTACATTAGTCACCTAAATTGAGCCCTCACTGGACATGATCAATTTATACCGATGCTCTTTACTTAAACTATTGCCCAAATGGTAAGAAGGGAAATTATGAGTAAAACCCCATGATGCTTAAACACATGTTAGAGCCTCTCAAAGTGCACTGGTACAGACTGTACAGCCAAAGTATACCATGTGATGTGAAATGAGCCTAGAAAGTATATCCATGGGGTGGTCTATGCTGTACCTGTGAGCATGTATAAGAGCATTGAAGCCCATGCCATTTCTCCAACTGGAGGTGAAGTTCTGAATCTCTGCGCCAGCATACCTGTGATAATAGGAATGAATGGCATTACTTTCAAAGTATTAGTAGATTAAAACTAAGATCTAATAAACGGATATTAGATCTAAGATTAAAACTATTCTGCAAGTCCAAAAATTTGGGGTTTCTTTCACATCATATTACTCATATGAAAACTAGATGGAACAAACTAAATTGACCAGAAACCATAACAGTCATGAAAGAAGTACCAAAATAGCAATAAACTGGTTAAATAATATGAACATAAAACATGTCAGTGTTAACAAATCCATGCACACTCACCCTTCTGTTTTTCTCTGACACCACAACAGGAGAGCAGCTTTTGCTGATCGCTTCTCTGTGCTCTCATCTTCCTCCTAGAGAAATAACAACCACAGTGTACAATTAAGAGTCACATCAAGACATTTTGTGTTATTTAAAAATAACTTGAAGTAAGAAAATGAGCGTAGTTCAGATATAAATGTGAATCTCAAAGACAAAAGAACCCATTCCAACACATTAATACTTACATGAGTTTCAAAGATTACTCTTTTTTCAATCTTAATAAAAAATATCATTTCTGTTTATGAAAAATAATTAAGTGACAAAAAATAAATTTAAATACATCAACCACTGATGAAGTTATTATATAAATATCCCACCTAGCTTAGGAAAAATTTAACACTGTGTGTCAAAAAAATAACATACTAAGTCTTACGTCAGACTCAGAGACACCAGACACCACACAGAAAGAAGCCATAGCACTGACATTCTCTGAGAGGTTAGAGCTATCAGCCTCATTGCAACAGTTGTCCTGTTGGCTACTGGTAATGAGATGGCTGTTAGAAGCAGGTCCAGATAATGTTGAAGAGGTAGAAGATGAAGCAAGTGAGGAAGCGAGAGGAGATGACCATCTAGTATTGGCTGAAGAGCCATACTCCGTGTCATGCTTGTTGAAGTACAAGGAGTTAGGTTAAATACATACAATTCCAAGAAGCATATAATAGAAAGCTTTAAAAATTATACTTTTTCTAAATGATATGTTTGAAAAACAAAGGAATGCTTTCTGATCTATATAAAATATAGGAGGTAAAAACAACTTTTCCAAACACTTCTATGTTAATTAAATTAAATAAAGCAGAACTGGAGCTAAATGTTATTATTATTGTTATAAACATAATATTCAATAATTTAGTTTCTTCTGGCCTGATGCAAAATAACATTAGACCATAAAAAATATTTCTAAAAATCAGTTATCCCAACATTTATCCCAAATAAGAAAGTTTATTTAAGAAAGAATGAATACAAATGATTAAATATATAAAACTATGCAAATGCTGGTATATTAGATTCTTTATATATGAAAAAATACAGACACTAAGACAATTTTAACACATCAAACTGCAAATAATAATACCTGTCATATGTTAGCTTAGCTAAAACATTTTCATAAATGCAACATAAATATAGTAAGCAACTCCATAAGTTCTAATAATAATATTATAGCTAATACACCCTTTACTTGGATAACTTACTGGATCTCTGGGTGTCTGAATTTATATGGCAATAAAAAGAACAGAATTATGTGGGGTTTTTTTAGAAATAAATATATGATTAAATATATCATATAAAAACAGATGTTAATCTTCCTTTTTTTAAAGACAGATACTTTTGATGCAAGGCAATAAAACAAAGTCATTAACTATTCTATACCTATTTGAAACCATGCAACATTGATGTGCAGAACATCAAAAATATCAACAGTAGTGCTCAGCTTGTAAAATAAAAAATCTATTTCTAAACATATTAGCAGCTATTTCAGCATCCTGACAAAAGTAATTGTTCTCAATCTAGTAAATGAATTTAAAGTTTGCCATGCTTCATTATTTTATTAAGCAATATTAATTTTAATAATGGTAAAAGGAAAATTATTTACTTCTTCTGTAAACATCACCCGCTAGTAAAAAAAACAACAAGAAATTTCCATCATTTCTTTATACAATGATATTTTATCTAAAAATGCACAGGAGATATATTCCACTTGCACTTGACTAAACATTTTTACCTTCCACTCTCATTAAAAAATATCACCATAATCTTGTAGGGAGAGCTCAAATAAATTTAAGAATACACATAATATTAAGCACAAAAAGCAAAAATAATCATATTGATTCTTAAAATACTGCCACCTTACATGTCATTAATTAATAATGTGCAATATCTTAATTACATTTCATGCTCTACCATCTGTCACATTCTACTTGTCTGGTACACTATATTTAATAACGGTAGATTATTTTCTATACAATAGAGATTGAATCCCTTGAGATGTTTCCCTTTCCCAATGAGTACTATTACCTGCAAGACCCAGTATACAGACAAAATGTATTATTATAAGACACATAAAAAAAGGACTTGAAAGTGGTCCCTCCTTTTCTCGTAACCCACTCATTCCATTTTCATACAATATTATGAAAATGAACACTGTCACCTTCACATGAGTGGCAATGAAGCAACTTGAAAACTGAACTCTTTGCTGCTTTCTCACTGAATTATTATAATATTCAAGACTCTGTACTTACCACTTCGATTTCAATTTCCTGGATCTGAAATCTTAGAATGATCGTCCATATTAAGCCCAGTATAAGCCGCTGGTTCCCATCTACTATGTCCTCTGCTCCAATGTTTTCCAGTTGAACCTGGGAGTTATTATAAAATACATTATGAAAGTGCACTTTATCAAAATTATATGAAAAAAGGGGGGAAATGAAAATAATATATGGATATTAAAATTTTAGATGACTGTGTATCATAAACCTACTGCAACTTACACATTTGATAAAATTACACATTTCAGCAACAGTGATGGAAACAGAGGATGTGGTTTCTATGTCAAATACAGGTTTCCATATTTTGGGGAGAAAATAGAAAAGGGAATTTTTGTCCCTAATCAAACTTTAGCTCAAATACGTGGACCAAATTAAGGTGTTCTAAAAGCCATTTCAATCACTTGTAATAAATAGCATTGCATTCATTGAGATTAGTTTCTAATTATGCATATAGATGTCACTGTAAGTGAAGTACAGTGGTGTGCCAGTTTGGATGAGTTGTAACATTGAATAATCTGTTCTTTGTGGCTTCATAATGACAATGTGTATTGTGTAATTTACCCTGATTGGTGATTGTGGAGTTGCGGTGAACTGGGATGTAACTAAGGGCACTCCATGAAATAAATTGTTCTCTGAACTCCTTTTTTTCCAAAAGAGCATTTCATTACTATTATTATTACTGAAGAAGTAAGTCAATTTTTGTAAGGCACCAGACCACTTAAACATCCCACAGTACTCAAATGACACTAACCAACTGACAGTAATCTGTTGATACCCACAACACTGCATACAAGTACTTTATATCTCCTGATATACATTAACTCAATTATCTGACAATAGTAGTAAAAGGGACAAACACAAGAATGATGTTGGAAATTCCGCCGAGTAGGTCGCAATTATTGTAATACCTCTCTGTTAAATGGAATAAATGTTTATTAGCAGCCAAACTTCCCCTTATCCCAACAGCCTATATTACCAGTATATCTTCAAGTTTATATATTAAGCATCATATTATCCAATGCAGTTAAATTGTTACCTTTTTCTGTGCTAAAAACTTGAGACACTTGTTGAGGTTTTCCACTTTCTGCACCCTCAGTGTCCCCCTGTTGGCCCTGCCAATGGTCTCCCCAGATATGATCTCCAACAGTTTCAGCAGTAACTTTCCATCAGACAAGTCTTCAAATATTTCACTGATCTTCAAATCAGCCTGGGAATAGGTAAGTGGACATGCATATACAGTCATCTTGGAAAGTTTATCAATGTTAGAAATATTGGAGGTAATACCCACATATTTTACAAGCTCTTGATAAAAAGAAAAACAATAATTTGAATTTATCAATGTTTGTTTAAAAAATTGGACCTTGGTGTGCATTAATATATGTATCTGAATAAAGAAATTTTGGAATGAAGAAGTAATATTTCTTTAAAAGTACATGAAGAAATATTACTGCATTAGAGTTTGACTTTTTATCAAAGTTCTTTGCTATCTAATTTTGATCATTGTATGATAACCCAGAGCAATAATGACAGGTACATATATGCCACATGGGTTAGTTCTGAATTTCTAGGTAATAACTGACATTTTTACACTGTGCTATCTAATCACAGGACAATCTTATCCTCCTGCTGTCCCACCCAACACAATTACTATTTAGGCAAGTTGAGTACTTTTTGACTGGCTTTCTATGGTAAGATTAAAGAAACAGAAATCGTATGAGATAGTATGAGAATTACAAAGATATTAGTCCGCGCACTAGAAACTGGCCTACCGCTGGTAAATTACACACGTACCATATACAATAAATAACTGCAAATATCAAATGCAAATGTTGCATTTATATTCATGTCAACACAGAAAGCAATCCACAATAATACAACTGTTTGAACCGTCCATTCTGTTACAATTTTCCAGACTACATTTCAATGGAAAATAATCCTCTTGCACAATGTGTATTAATACAACTGCTTTTAAATGTTGACTTCTGAGTAAGAACGTAAACTAACTTTCGTCAAGAAGGAGCTTAGCAAATTTGGTGAAAGTTTTTACCTGCAAGAAGTTTCTATATGTATGCCCTGGCTCATGTTATTTACTTTTGGCAAATATGTAGTGAATTATAATTTTACATGCAATTACTGACAGCAAAAATTTTTAATTCCAAAATGATTTGGAGTTATCACATCATTGGTTAAAACATGATCTACACAATGTTAGAGTAAGACTTCATTCCCAATGAAACTATAGATCCACATAAATCGATCCAACTCTGCAGACTTTTGCTTAATGCAATCAGACTAGCAGGTTAATACACCTTGTCTTGTTTCAAGGGTACTCTTATAATCACATTTTTCTGTATTCTACTCAACACCAGGAGATCATATTAACCTCTTAATAATCTGATTGCATTCGGTAAGAGTTCCCATGGAGTTGGATCGATCTATATAGACTGATAATTTCATTGGGAATGAGCCCTAAGAAAAATAGATAAAGTTGTCTTTTTTCACAAACCCCCCTTCTCATCACAGTGATACTTACCTTCATCAGGAAGGAGTTAATCCAGTTGGTAAAAGTTTTCTTTTGCACCAGAATCCTTTCCTCCTGCAGGGCTCGAATACGGCCCTTCTCAAACTTACTGGCATCCTGACTCATCTTGACCTTTATCCTTTCATCCCATCACCTGGAACAACTAGAGGATCAGAGAGGCGATACCGCCTCCGAATATTGTACCACCAGCTGGAGCAAGCGCATTCGTACAGACCCCCACATACACAAAATAAGGGGTGCAGCCACCAGTCTTGTGCTTGACAAGCTGTAAAAATGCAATCAACAAGAATTTTCAAAATATGCAAAAAATATATATAACTAAAAATGGTGCAATCAAAGTTAAGTTCATTGTAAGGTAGGTCAAAGGTCAATTTCAAGGTCACAGTAAATTGCCAGTATATGACTTCCTATCCAACTTCAATAGTAACTATGGACCTATCTCTGCCAGTTTTGGAGATAAAAGGGAAGCAAAATTTGCAAAGTTCAGTTCATGGTGAAAAGTAGGTCAAAGGTCAATNATTTTTGGACAAGGGTGCATTGCAATGAGTGCCACACCCAGACCCCAATACCGACAAAGCCCAAATTTTACGTGGAACGAGTTGAGATTATAGGTGACCTAAATCCATGAGATGGGTATGGGGGGCCTTACCGTCTAGGAGGAGAAGCGGTAACGGTAGCCGTCCGGCGGAGCCGGCGGAACGATCCGGACGAGACCGAAACCATGTGTACCGCCAGCGCTAACGCTGGTGGTACAATTAATAATTATCAATTAGCAAGAATCCTGTCATCCCATCACCAGAAACACAACATCTATCAATTTACAAGAATCCTTTTATCCCATCACTTAAATAAATTAACATTTACCAATTAACAAGGAAAGAACACTTAAAGAGCAAATCAGATGATAATTTATATCTTGACACCTTCTTGCTCTCATAGAACACCCCCTAATATTAGTTTCTCCTGGATTAACCTCAAGTGAAAGAAAAATTGCATTACCACAGCAAAAAAAAAAAAAAAAAATCAAATTCTCATCTAAGAAAAATATAGTTTTTCCACTCTAATTCCAGTGTAATTCCAGTGCTATGGAGTCAGGTTGGCTGACTAAAGGATAACACAGGCTAAGTTGTCACCAGAGATCCTCTCTGCCATCTTTCAGTCAACTATCAAATGGCAGATGATATTTGGTAGCTGTTATTCCTGCAGTCTTCTTAGAAGCTCAGTACTTCCACCTGACTCCTTACTAGCAACTCTGTGGTATTATTTTCAACAAAACTGTCACTTCTGACAAACTGCATGTAATCTAGGTTATATTTTATATTGGAACCTTCAGAAACATACCCCCATCTTCTGTGTCAAAAATGTATGAGCAGCTTTAAACAAATAGGACCTTTAACACCTAAAATGCACTTTGAGTCATCGAGCTAAGTGGTTAATTAGGTGTTAAAATGCACACTGCCAGTGGTCAGTATACCTGTCACAGGTGAAGTCATTACAGTATGGATGTTTTTGCCATCAGTAAGCCCATTGTTTGCAAAAGGCAGCAGATCTAATGATAAAATCCATCAAGTGGTTTGATCTGATTTTATGGACACTGAGCAATGCTAAGGGTGGCTTTTTTTGCAGGGAATTATCTAGGTTGTTTCACATGACTTCTGGTAGGCTTAAAAATTATAAATCAATTGATATAATTAGTACAGTGTAATTTGGTTGTCTGATGTTGCAAATCATTATTGATTAAGTGCCCAATATTATATTAATATAGTAATGGCAATGGGGCTTCCTTACATGCCAGAAGTACATAATGAGCAAATACTATGGGAAGATCAGGCATTTCAATAAGTAGCTAAAAAAAGAAAAAACTAAATATTTGACTGAAAAACAACAAGCTGTCTGTTAATCCATTAAACAGCACACATGAATTTTTTTCTTTTTTCCAGTGGGGTTCTAAATGTCGATCTATGTCATGCAAGAACTCAATTTGCTGTATCAAGTACTCTGTTACACACCCTAAAAATAATCCCATGAGATCAAAACAATTATTTTTTTTATCCTGCATGACTTTATGGACAAACTGATTATAACAATTCTATATAATTAACTTTCATTTTTGCACAAAAATATCTGAATACAAATTAGTTTTCAGAAATATCTATCAATCACTTGAAAATCAATAGCAGTAGTTCAGCTGAGAAACTAGTAACAGCAAACTGTGCAAGTTGATACTAGATATGCACATATGCTTCAACTTGGTGGAATGAAAAGAGTTATATTCTTTTCATTAAGTTCTTCAATAAAGGAATGCAACATTAATTTTTATACTGTTAAAAACTGCACCATAATCACTTACACACTTGAACTTGTTGAAATAAAATGACCTCTCTAAAGTCTTTTGCTCACTTCATTTTGATAGACTACTGCTGGGCTGACAACTACACAATCTCTAAATCCAACTGATGACCTCAATACTCTTCAAAACTTGTTTTACCTATCAAAATATTCACAGACAGTATAATTACATATGTAAGGCAACATCCTTTAATAAAAAAAACTCCATATACCCATTCAATGAAGTCAGACAGCTTTTTAATCAATCGTAAGTTCAAGTACCATGTAGCAATTGTTATATTGATCCTAGAGTAATCTAAATCTCCCCAATCTTCCACAGTAATGTATCCCATACTGTGGGACCTGTCATTTACAAGTAGTAATTGGTGATTGATGTAATAAGCACACTTCATTACTTGATTTAAGCAAACAATGGACTTCTGTCAGCTAGGTGAGCTTTGAAGTAGAAGCTACAGGTGAAAAAGGTGACTCATATTACTGACTTTATGAAAAGTAGAGATTTGATACCAGGTATTCCTTGGGGAGGGGGGAGGGGTGTTGAATGAACCACCCTTTTGCCCAGAAAGGTCTGCTCTGAATTACATTTTGAGGCTCTTTTTAACCCCCCCCCCCCCCCAAACCAACATTTGTGCTTTTTATAACAGCCTGTTACAATTATGATAGCAAACATTTGAATAGAACATGATTTTTCCTAATTATTTATTATTTGCAGAGGGAAAGCCATAAAATTATCAATGTGTGTTCCTTTAAAAAAGTCCACATTTTAAGATAAAATGTCATCTGAAATATCTGCATTGTATAGCTTCCTGATCACAGTATATCTTGCTTAATGCCATGTATACCACACCCCATGGAGGACTGATGTACAAAGACACAAGACTTCTAGATATACTTTATTTTTTTTCAAACAGAGATATGTCTAGTGCCTTCCTAGCTATTAATAAAATCCCTCCTGCCTGCTACACAGGATCATAAAATCTGAAAAAAAGAAATGCTCACAGAACTTATAAGACTTTATTTTTTAATTGGAGAGATCATGTACTTCTTACAGATTATATTTTTAAAGAAAGGAACCAACTACAGATATCTGAAACACTACACCTATCATCAAATATCATTAATATAATCCTAAAACATCTGTTTCAATAGTACACAAATATTAACAAATCTTTAAATGCAGGTCAAACTCTTCAGTAAACATAAAAAATAGGAGCAAATGCAACTGCTCACTGGAAAATAACCTGTCTCTTCATGTTCACAATAGTATATAGTTGCAGTTTATTGTTGAAGTGTGTGTTGACTTTACCTTGTGTGTACATAACTGACCTGCATTTTCTTTTATATTCTACAATGACCTGTATTCAGTGCATTCTTCATGTGTTTGTTTTCTTTTCCCCTCAGAAATGAAGCATTTCTGGCACATATATTCTATCCAGTCTCCTATGAAGCCAGCTTATGGATTATTGGTTGACCAACATATTGACACAATACCACAATGAAACAGTTGAGGCAGGTTTTGACTGTATATGGCTAGTACATGAACATCATTACATGTTGCTTGATTAAGTCTATAGCATCAAATGAGAATTAATGCACAAAGTTAAGTTTTGCATCATGAATAGAAGAATAAGTTTTAGAATAAAAAAAAAAACTACCTACCTGCACCATCAGTGTGCTGTTGTCTTACAAAGTTTCACAAAGAATCTAATTCACCAAGCTATGGCCATCAACTTAAACAGCAGCAATTTAAGTACTAGTGATACCCCTATATTGCAAACACTTAAATTACCCCCTACTATCCAGTAATAATGATAAAGGTGTTCATCAATGAATCACCATCTAATCCAATCAGTTATTATGTCTTACCTGTACAATAGCCAGGGTCAGCTCCACAATGAAGACCACCTACATCCTGTTTATTACTGCCTCAGAACCCTGTGGATGTGCTGTGCTCTAATGAAAAGAAGAACAGTTATATTACTGTTAGTTCCCTGTACTCAGACTCTGACTAGCCTTTTATAATGCACTTACATAAAGAAGATGAGTGAAACAGAGGTCTATTTATAGGGTTATTGAATGAAGAGAAGTAAATTTGAAATATACTTCAACAAAAGCAAATAGGCCAAAGATTTGTACTGCCCAAAACTGAATGTGGAACCTACCCACTGCCCAACCTCAAAAGCCATCTAAAATATATCCAAGCAAATGTAGAAAAGTTTCATGCTTATTTCACCCATGTCCTCTTCTCTTCAACAGTTCAACCTCTTTATACAGATAATGCTGTTCACCAAATAACCATGTGTTACTCTCCAATCTTCTGTCATTAAACTGTAGTACAATTAATAAAAATTTCACACAAAGTGCTTCAACTCCCAATATTACCTTGTGTATTTAGGATGAGTTAGACCAATATAAGCTTCTTATGCATGTGTATAAGCATTCAGAGGAATACCTGTGTCCAATACAGAAACTCAGGTATTCCATAAATCAATAAAGTTATGTTAAATATTAATGCCCATTGAGGAAACCACCAACTACATGTGTCTTATAATACTGGCATGACAAAAAAGAACTTTCACCAGTATGCCAATATGACCCTTTTTCTTGCTACTATTTTCTTTATCAATTGATCTTAAACGAGGTGAGTATGGGTTACTCAAACAGAGAAAGGAAAATTCAGATTTTTTGCTTTGCCATTCCACAAGCAATTATTGTTCTATTGATAAATTTTAACAAACTTAACTATATAGTTCAGCCAATTTATAGCATAATTCAATATAACATCAAAAATTAAATGTGCTACTTAAAAGGCATCAACATATACAAATATTTAAAAAGTGTATAAACATAGTCACCTACATCTGTATAGCATACTAAGCTTAAGAATTGTAGCAAAGTGCCAGATTTTAAAATAACAATTTCTCCATTTATCATTTTCATTTTAATGACCTTAATTTTTATAACGTGCACCTAAATCAAACTGCATTCACTTTTATATCCACAGAGATTTGCCATTTTCATCCGTACTGATCACTAAGTGTAAATTCCACAAATCCCATCATTGCCTATGGCAGTTAAGTACCTACTTCTTCAAAAGTGTACTTTTTACAGTCCAATGTTCACTACAATATTATTACATGCAATGTTTTGAGTTTCAACTTGCATGTAGAGTTGTAAAACGCAGATTAGGAGTACGCACCCAACTCTATAAATATTGATTAAACAATACCAGCCTCAGAAATGGGGTGCATGATTATAGAATGTTACATTGATCAGTAGCTTTCAAGCACTTTAAACCAATTTACAGCCATATAACTTACATTATCTAAATTTTGTATCCCTATACAAAATATATAAGGAATATCCATCACTTGACTTGCCAAGTGGCCAAAACATATATATTCTAATAGACTGATGAATTATTTGAATTATGATACCCTGTTCTTATTATGCCTCAACAACTGCAATGACTGAGTCACAAGTTATTTATTTCTCCACATGTGTTTTAGTCTCTTTACAACAATTTAATTCCCAGAGGTGGTAACCAGATACATGCCCATAAGACAGATCTATATGTTTCGAGTCAAAGTTATTAGATTATGACGTGCTCTAGGCAGTTACAACAATTGCATCCATGACTGATACCTCTCAGTAGGCTTTGGTCTTTATCTGAAGAGTTCAGTCCTCATCATCATCCTTCAGGGAATGCAAAAATTTGTAATATATCATATGAGATCCATTCATATCTATAGATCAGAAAAAACATGCTGTGAATTATATTTGAAATAAATAGTATAGTAATGATATATTGTCCTATAATACTTACAAATTTCTGTTAAATCCCTTAAAATCATTTGATTTTTTTTCTATGAATCCTTTCATTACAGATAAAAAGAAGATATTATTTATCTAAATATAAATATGTTCTTCTTTTAACCTAACAATAAGACTAACACAGACCTATAAAGGCCGAAAATATCCTTATGAAATTTGTAAAAATTTTTCAAAGTCAAGTAATTGAAATGTACCTCTGTTAAACTTTATCATGGGCAATTGAGCCTTTTCATAACTGTACTGCTGACACTTTGGATGTTATTGTGCGCCACTGGATAATATATAAGAAAGATAAACTGATACCTTTTAGTGTTAATAAATTGTCACCAACATGTTTGCCATACAAGTTTGATCAATCTTTTTATTTTATAATTCCTATTCATTTATAATTATTCCTATTCATTTATTTATCTATTTATTTGTTTATTTACTATTATTATTATTATTATTATTATTATTATTATTATTATTATTATTATTATTATTATTATTATTTGCAATATAAGATAAACTTAATCTTTCTCTTGATTACACTGATTATACAAAATTATGGTTGTTGGAATAAAAATCCTATCCCCAAATAATGCACAGTTAAATCTTCAGTATATAGCACAATTAAATCTGCTCATGAGAACAAAATGATAAAAATATGACAATCTAAAAAAATTCTTATAAGCGGTCATTATAAACCTTAGAAAAACTTAATTATTTTTATAAAACCATGCACTATTTAGTCTGCTGTTAGTCACGGTTATTTGTTTAAGAGAGGTAATGGGTAATGCATTTCCATTTCCAGACCACAAGTTTTTTTTTTTCAAATACATGAGAAATATAACACTGGACTCTGTTTCAAAATGGAAGCTGCCAAATTCATTTTGTATCTAGTATAAATCACTAAGCAAATGAATGACACTGGACAGACTGCAAAAATCTACACTGACTATGAAAATAGTTTGTGCACTGTTTAAAGTAATTCCAGGAAAATAATATCTTGTTTCAGAAACAAACCTGTTTTAGTTTACTATCCTCTTCTCTTTGAAACTCATAAGATTTTGAAAATGAATGAAAGATTTGCGTAAACCGTATTTAAATATAGTGTCTCCGTCGTGCAGACACCTGTTCGTGCCGCCATTTCCAAACAAAGAAGTCTCGCACTTACAACAATGAGCCGTGTCATTGGACACGAAAGAAAATTGAGATTGACTTAAGCGGCTGTGTTATTTGTGGCGCGACGGATGTACGTGAATTTTTCTGAAATCTACGGATGTAGCCCACGTTTAGTACAGGTATTGTGATGTTTGTTGCGTTGTAAATCAGTCGTGGAACAAACATACCACACAACCTCTCCTGATAACTGATTTCCTAGCCCAAACACTCCTGGCTTATGAATTTTTGTTGAGTTAGACGGACGTATGACCTGCTGTCTTACCGATACATGTACATGTAGGATTGTACGGTAGTACCTGAGTTTATGTGGCGAAATAAAATTCTGTAACAGTTTTGTTACAATTCTACATATTTTCAGGAACCTACAATAATAGCTTCTTCAAACAGTACATCATTCTGAGCTGCATTCCGAGGGAATGAGGCAACAAGCGTCATATTATTTATAGCGTCTCTCTCCCAGAAAGTACCCCCCCCCCCACCTCCGTGGCCTTAGCACTAAGTTTCGTGCGTAATTAACACTCTTACAGAAAACGTAAAAAGAAAGGTAAATCACATAAATCTTTGTGCTACCTCACATGCACCCTATAATTGCTATATATTATTATAGTTAACCCCCTCCCCCACCATTCAGACCTACTGAACTTAAGATGAATCCAGCATGGATTCCCTATGAAACACATAAACACATTTACTTGTTTCAAATACCACTCAAATAAAGTCTACATGCCAAGAGGTAAACCAAATTTACCAGTCAGACCTATTTATATGTCCCGCAAGTTTGTAAAAGTTCTGTTCATATATTGTTTTTCAGGAAGTTATGATCTTTACAACAATACTGTATGGTGGCATTTTATTTGGCCAGGTCTAGTGGCCAAAATTTAACTTCATATGTAATTTTAACCATTTCTGCTGTTATCTTGGACTAAGATAAAATAAGTGTGAATGGCTTACTAGCAATAAGTTGTAAATATTTGATTAACGGTTGAATAACATTTTTCTTATCAGGCAAAATCCAAGAAACAAACATTGAAACAATGTCTGTTGTTGACGACAATGTCACTACTGTTTTGAAGAGGTAAGGATAATGCTACTCTTTTGATTTCCCAACTTGTATGCTGTGCTCACATATCTTGGTATTTAAAGTAGCTGTAATATTTTAGCAAAGTTGAGATTTCACTGGAAAAAAAAGGGATGTACATGTAAGTTATCTTAAGCACGTGGATACATTTGTACAGTGTATGCATTATATCTAATGAAATCTTTCTTTTTGTTATATGTTATATTTGCATTTTACATTTTTTGGGGAGGGGGATTTCTTTTATTGTTAGAGTTAAGAAGTCCTTTATTGGTCCCTGTTTTTGTTTTCAGATTATCTGCTACAGAAGATGGACCAGATGTAAATCATTCAAATGAAGAAGGCACCAAGAAAGATTTCATGTTTAAAGTAGGTGTGGCATGAATATACATTGCCCACATTTTCATTTTCCTTTGGTGAATAGCTGCAAACTTTGTGTTAAAATTTCAGTTGTACCAGACTTAAAATATGGTTATTGTTTTTTTATATTCTAAATTCCAATAAAGGCATGAAGTACATCTATGAGTAACTCAAAAAAAGTTTGTTTCGTTTTATTAATGAACAAATATTATAGAGTTAAATGAAAAGAGATTGTTGCAGACTTGATGAGTCTGTGACAGCAAGTATTTTATTTTGTCACTTGCTTTCAGGACTTCACTTTGGAGAGAGCATGCAGTAGTCATCCACTGCAGACCCTCCTTGGAGAAAACATCACAAAACATGTGCCATTTATCTTTGCTTATAGGAAAGGTGTAGTTGAGGTATGGGTTTTGATATTGAGGATGCATATGTATTCAACCAGAGTTGTCTAACTAAAGTTTGTTTAGTCTACTATATCTTCATATTATTATTATTTATTTATTTTACAAGATGAGAAAGCTTCAATATCACATGTTGTTAAAATACCTGTTGCAATCATTTTGTGCTTTAGACAAGGGTCAGGGATTTTGAAAGAAGTGCCCTTTTTGCCAGAAAAAAAGTCCACTTTGAATCAAAATTTGAAGTACATAAGTGCTATATGCCATTTTTTTTTTTCAGTTTCTTTCAACAAAAGGAAGTAAAAAGTTCCGCATTTTTTAGAAAAAGAACCCCCTTTGAAAATTCTGGCTATAGGCCTTACAAGAGTATATTTATCTTTTTTCTTTTGTTTATTTTGTAGCTTTCTGAAAAAGAAGATGAAAGCTTTCATAGAGATAACACTGCAGACAGCAGCTCTGAGCAGCTAGGAGGATCACCACTGAAACTGCAGGAGTTTTCTTCTGGTGTAACAATTCCAAACAACTCTAGAAAACCTTCTTCGAGTGCCCCCTTCATGAAACCTGTATCCACCAATGATGCAAGGTAACAGAAATAATAAGAATAAGAATAATAAGATAAAGAAAATAGAAAGGTTACATTTTAGCTAAATTAATTGATAGTGCCAAATTTAGGAAATTGTTTGATATTAATGATGACAATCAAATTTTTAAAAAACCTTTCAATGAAGTTGTCACATGCATGGTTTAATAAAGTTTTTACATTATTTGATGACGTTGATGCGTTACCGAATAATTCAAATGACAATCATGTAGTTTATTTCATCCAACAAGGATTATTTTTTAAATACACAAACCTCTACAACATGTAATTATTTTAGTTTTACTACAGTGTGTAAAATCAATAATTTTAGATACCTGGTTTCTCAGTACACATTTCTGTGCAATCCATTTATGACTGCCACCCATACAGACCTGCTACCTCTGTGGGTTTACTGTGACAGACAGGAACATGGAGACATGCTTTTTCTTGGAACACGGCAGCTTTCTGGCAAGAAGAGAGGAAATGTCTTGCATATGGTGACATCTAGAGGTACTTTTAGGAAACTGTGCTGGGGGATGATTTATAAAGTCATGCTAGTACATACGTGTGTTTATATTTATATTATATAATACTATATTATATAATATAAATATAAACACACGTATGTGTGTTTATATTTATATTATATAATACTATATTATGGAAAACTGAAATGTTTCATTGTTTGTGCCAGTTTTGTTAGAAATTATGTTGAATAATAAATAAATTGTCAGCATGGTACTATCTTTTTATATGAATGCACATTCAATAAGAAAATTCAATGTCTCATCAGCTTCAAATCTGCCTTTATAAAAGAAATTTTAGTTGTACATTATGTAAATTTATTTTGTTAACTGATTTAAAAGAATGTCATTATAAAAGAGGTGCTTAATCAAACACAAAAATGTGTTCCACTTGATTGCTTTTAGTGAGCATCACTGACATAAGTATAAAATTATTGTTGTTATTCATTTACATCTTTGATTGATAATATTTTGCAAAAATGATGTACATTAACATATACAATATAATAGCAAGGAATGATTCATACTTCATAATGATCAAACAGAGCAAAATGTAAATTTTCTCGTAGCTGTATATGTATTTAGTGGTTTCAGGAAGACTTATGGTTTACTTTCAGGACCAGTCCAAAGCATTCAAGATGTCCCCTCACACATGAGAACTTTGAAGAAACCCCAGCAGATTGGCAATGTATGTAGTGGATATTGATATACTGGTGTCTCATCACTTAAAAGTAAACTTTTACAGACTTTTCTATATTTTATTCTCAGAATAAAGGCAGGTTGCTTTTTATAAAAGCATTCTGATGTGCAGGTACATAATATAAAGCAAAGTAAGTTGGTCTATGAAAAATTTTAGGACACTTTCATCCTGTTTATATTACAAGATTAGTTGAATAGTTGCCTTTCCTATTATTTTGTGCAGGCCACAGTGAAAGTGTCAGCACATTATGACATCTTTGGGTCCATGAATAAGGACGAGAGTAGTGCAGGGTCATCTTTTCAAGGGTCACTAATGGTCAGTTCCAGTTGGGACAGAGTGACCACCCTCTTGGAGGTTCCTCCTGTAGAGGCAGTCACAGCCCTGGTAAGATACATGTCCCCATCATTTTCTGTTGTATTATCCAGAAGTAAAAGATGTGCTGATATATAAATTAATTTATCTGTATACATTGTTAGTGATAAGATTACTAAAATTAATGTTATAGCAATAGCAGAGTATTTAAGCACCAACAAAGTCACTGGCTGTATATATATCATGGTTCTGGTCTGGAATCACCATTTCAGGCACATGGATCTGGCTAGTAAAAAAAAAAAAGACTTACACCACACCCCAGCATATTAAAATTGTGTATGGTCGACTCGTACATAATGTCTGCTTTAACCTGGCTGATTTTAGTGTCATTTGGTGTTTCTATTTCTATGAAACAAAAGTAGAAAAAACACAAAAAAATTATCCTTGGAAATGATTAAGTCAAGAAGAGGCGTATCACAATGTGGCTGTATATTGTTTGTTATATTATTCACTAGGATATCCAAGTGGCTGCTGGAGATGTGGGGAGTGCAGTATACAGCATGTTCAGAGAGCTGTCCATTCTTCAGGTGAGGTTCTTCAAAATTCCAGTTTCTTGGATCATTGTGTATGAATAAGAAATAAGTTATATATGTGTTGAAAAGACATTGAAAAAGTAAAATCAAAGTGAAATATGGTTTGCAAATCAGATTAATTTTTTATGCATCAGGCATTCAGGTTATGTATCAATTTTGCATAAATTGAACAATAGTATTATTGGACTTGTATTTTGCTTACAAGAGGTTGCCTGTATTTTGATACACTTCAATGTGTTTCTTGCCTCAGTGCACACAATACATACATGGCTGGGGTAGCACTAACACTTGCCAGTCAAGCCAAATGCTAAGACTGACTTAAATTGGGTTAATTTGACTTGTTTTATTCTAATTTAAACCATTTAGAGAAAAAAGTGATGAAAAAGTAGTGGTTTTAGTGAAAAAATTTGCTTACACAATAGTTACAATAGGCGGGTCATCCTGTGTATGCCATATGTTAAGCTTCGTTAATTTCACTGTTGTATTCAACTGACAGTTTGTAACTCATCCTGGAAATGTTTTTTTCCAGGGCTTTGCCTCTGGTCTAAAGGATGGATGTGTGAGCTGGGCTGTGGAGAGCTGCTCAGGAAAATCTCTGCTGGAAGAAGTGCAGACACTCACTGAAGGTGAAATTTGCTGTAGGGCTGTATAGATGATAATGTAGTATGACTTATTGATCAAAAACTACCTACCTTTTTTATTTATTTTATTTATTTATTTTATTTATTTATTTTATTTATTTATTTATTTATTTATTTATTTATTTATTTTTTTGCATACAGTAAAATCTTTGGGAGTTTGTTTTTGCATCAATGATTTCAGAATAACTTACAACCTTTTTATCTCCTACTTGGTTTTACTTGAAATCTTAAAGGTAGTATCTAAATATTGTAATTGCACAATTTTGAATTTGTCTATGTATTTTCAAGATTTAAAGCAAGGAGATGCTTTATGGCAGCCTACAAAGGACACCAAAAAGGATTCAACTGCAGTTCGTAAGAATGAAGATGAAAGTGATGTCACTTCTCCAGTGAAAAGTCTGGCACTGGCTGACAGGGTGGACCTAGACTTCACAGAGAAACTCTGGAACATTTTGATTGGTGGGTGTACCACAATAATTTAAAGATTTATATGCACTCAAGTATTTAGACAGACTGCCGTTATGCACACAAATACAATCCCAGCTAAATGATATTGTGATATGCTCATTTTTATGCTTTGAGAAGAGAAAACTATATCAAGTCATTTATTTTACTTATAAAATAATTTAAGGGAAATTATTTAATATAATTTCAGATTGTTCTTCTTATGATGAATTGGTCAAGTGCTTTCAGTATGTCTTACGCATTTTAAAAAATGGAGAACTTCAGCCCATGGTGAGTAATACCACTAATAATTTGTGACAATATTTTACAAATTGTGTGACTTAGAGATGATATGGAAGCATCACGTTTTTCACAGATATTTCTTTTCAATGACATACATGTCCCTATAACTGTCAAACCCTAACCTAATCATGTAATGTAATCATTAATGTAATAACCAGGCTATTAAGTTGTCAATCTCTCAAATGAAAATGGATGGATCCAGTCAAATATACTTTTTGATTTGATAAAGGGCTTAAGTTATCTTTGGGCAAAAAATAAACATTTTTACTGCCTGTACACAGGTGCATGCCAGTAACCACACACAGCTAGCAGAACTGGTCCGGGCCTCCTACTATAACAAACTGGTGATGCCAGACCTGGCCGGACTGCTGCCACTGGAGCTTTTGGTGGAGATAGGTGTTGAGAAACTAAGAAGAGACTATAGTCATGCATTCATTGGTGAGTTAGAGTGAGAGGAGGTTGGGGGGAGGGGGGTAGTATGGGACTGGTAGAATCGAATTCTTGTCAGTCAGTAGGTGCATTTTTCCTGTCAGTCAAATGAAAGACAGGCGTTATAAAAAAAAATTTGAAAAATTAAGTCTTTGATTAATAACCACTTCATAACATGGGTTTTGTTTAAAAAAATGATGGAATAAATTACGTCAATTTTACATTTTGTTTTCAGGAATAAAGTATTGAAAACACCCATTCCTGGGGTATTTCACTAATGATTTGCCCCAAATCAAACAACTGAAAATGTTTATACAAAGGCTTAAAACACAAGGATCTGTCCATTTTAATTTCACTGCCAATTTTCCTAAAAGTATGGTGATCCAGGTCACCTTGAAGACATTGTCTGGCACTGACTGTTTAGTGAATTATGATCTGTAGGGAAGAGTTTGTCAGATGTGTCTGCTATTTTCTTCATATATCAGACAAAGATTTGGTGACAGCTGATCAGCTGACATATTTCCTGGAGAAGAACCTGGACCTCCATGAGAAGCTTAGTCGACTTGAAAAGCTGCACAATGTGCTGGAGCTGGTTGTGATGATGAAGATGTTCCTCAACATACCTCAAATTACACTCAGCTCAGCTGCAAGGTGGGCAACTTCATAAGTTATACTTTCTGACATGTATAGCCTGGCAAGAGTGGCTACTGATAAATAATACTGGTTACAGAAAATTTGTTTTGGAAATGGGCTCCTTTGAAAACCTTTTTATTTATTTATTTTTGTATGAAATTTATGATAAATTTCAAGTTGTGTACATTGTGTAAGTTACTTAAGTGAAGAGTTAATAGCTTGAAGTTTAATAAGATAAAAGTAGCATACACACAACACAAAATGCTTTATGTTGCCTTTTTTTTTTCATTTTCTCTATAAAACTGTTGTCAGTATCATTTTACTTTAAAAAGTGAATATATGGCCAATTAAAAAATTTTAATAAAACTCATAACTAAGATGTTGCTGATATATAAACTTTACTTCCAGACAAGCCATGAATCATTACCAAATCCACAATGTTGATCCAGCCCATGTCTTCCACATCCCTGTTGCTACCTCAGCTGTCAGAGGAGTATTTGATACGTAAGTGTTTCTGTTTTGGTATATAACAAGGCTTTGCCTTTGTTTTACAAGAGTTCTGATTTTAGAGGTTCAAGAGTTCTGAGTTTATTTTTGAGTATTTGATAATGTAGCATGCATGAAAAAACAACCGTCTACATCAGGGGTGGATTGAGGCTGTCTTCTGGGTCTTTCCGAAGGTATGCCATCTCTGGATCCGCCTCTGTACATGGGTGAAAGTTTTCAGGATTATACCCGATTTCAGGATTTTCAGTCTTCATTTCAATAATTTGGAATTTTACCTGGCTGGATAAGCTTATTACATATAACATCTCTAGAGTGTGATATTGGAGTATAGTTTTAAAGGTGTTTTATGGGTTAACTAAATCTCTTTTTTCTTGGTATGTATCTCAAATAATACACTGCCACCCTCTTGCGATATATGCGATGAACACCTCTCACTGATGCTCAAGGTGTTCTGGCACATATGTCTCACACATAATGTATTTGTTTTGAACTTTGAACCCAGTCAGTGGGCCTCAGATAATCCTCTGGTGTTATGTGGAACATATCCTCAGTGTAGGTATGGAGAAATTCAAATTTGGGACGTTGACTTGGCTCCAGTGACCAACACTTGAGAAGCTCTTCATATATTTCTTGGGGGAATTCATAGTGCTCATTGTGGGGAATAGGCAGGTGGTATCCTTCTTGTACTTTCTGCAATACTTCCATCTCGGTCATGCCTTAAGAATGTTTGCATGCTTTTTTTACCAATATAAGTATGTTAACTTAAACAGTGACAGGCAATTCAGAAAAAGATGAGAAAATCTGTTATTTAGATTATAATTTCATTCGCCAAAAAGAACAGATTCATGCTGTTGTTACTGTATTGTATGATCTCAACTGAGGTTCAGAAATTAATGATAATGAAAAGTATAAAAACAATATTGCAGACCAAATTTTTACAAATTTACATTTACAATAAAGAGAAGAAAATGTACTCTGATCTCTTAATCATGCAAATCAAATTTGAATTTTAGAAGACAGCACTTGCATAGCCACATTAACAAAGTTAATGGAGGTGAGTGAAATAATTCCAAAATGCACCCCTGTATACTGTTATAATATCTTTATGTTATTGTTATGCTTACCTTCATATGGTAGTTTCCCCAAAGTTGCCATTTCAACCATAACAACAGCAAAGGACCAGACATCAGACATTGAAGATATTCCCTTCTTACCATACTTGATAACCTCCGGTGCAGCCCACCGGATTGGAGGAGTGAAGTCTTTCAAGTGAAATGTATTAATGTTACACGTACTCTGCAGATAGGCTCATATTACTACAAACATTAGCCAAATTATGACTGTAGTTTACATGGGTGTGTGTTTGTCGTGTGTGGGTAGAAATATGCACAGGTACATATATGCATTTTAATTACTGTATTTTAATTAAAATTAAAAGTACCTTTGGCAGCTTTTTTCCATGGACACAATTCCACTTTGACTTTAAAGTGATCTGGATCAGATGTTAGGATAAATACATTGGTAGACTTCAAATAACCATGAGCAAAATGTATTTCTTCAAGGTATGCCATTCCTGCAGCAATCTATAAAAAGAAAGTAAAAAATCTGATATTAGACCCTTACCATCTGTCCTAGTAAAATTCTAATATCACGAAACAATTGTTGCATGAAATATTATGATTAAGTCAAGCATGTGATCAAAATGTTATCATTTAGGAGAAATTGATGAGTCTGTCAGTTCAATCAATGAAATTTGTAATATTCAGTCCCCAAACCTGAGAGGCTATTTGTAACAAAAGTCTCAGTCCTAAGGTTTCCCCCATATCTTCAGCCATAAAGTCAAGCAAAGACCCTTGAGGGAAATGTTCTGTGGCCACAAAGTACGGCTCTCCTTCCAGGCAGGTCAACATGGTGGCCAGGTGTGGGTGTTGAAAGGAGGCGAGTTCAGTAGCTTGACTATGCAGTTGTTGTTCATCCACAGAGTTAATGTTGAGGACATTGATGGTAGCAGGCATGCCATAAACAGTCCCTGTAAAATTGAGCTCAGTCAGTAACAGTTTGTGTGAATTTGAAAGTGAAAGTTCAAGAATGATTCTGTCAAAGGAATTAATTAAGAATGTTCAAATTAATCAATTGTGGTTTCAAAGTACCTACCTACCCACACCTCTCTGCAGTCTGTTTTATGAAGGAGTTCAGTATAGTCCACAGCATGTCTGTCCAGTAGTAACTTTGGTCTCAAGTTTGTATTTTCATAAACATCCAAATCTAATGCCTGTGACATCTAAAGAAAAATGAAATTATGTATGAAAACTTGAAGCCCCTGTTGGGTTTCTGCTCTGTTTGTTCCATTTTGCTGTATTGACACTGTGTACTAGTTACATCTGTCACAAAGTTGAGCGAGAAACTATAAGATATTTTCAAGTTTAACAAGTACATGTAACATTGTATTAATCAGTGTACATTATGTCATCAATTCTCTGAATGTTTTAGTTTCATTGTGCAATTTTGTACTACTTTTACATTTATTGTGGTCTTTATTTATTTATTTATTTATTTTTTTTATTGAGCATATACAAACACAATACAACTGTGGTCTTTATAACTAACCCGTTTCAGTGAAGCCTCTTGCATTTCCTTTACTGTTTCCAAGTTGAACATGTGAATGTAGTCCTCATCCTGGTCTTCTTCATCCTCCTCCTTAGCATTTATTGACCCTTTGTTGCCATCTTCAACATTAGCATAGTTTCCATGTTGTGCCTTTTCCAGTAGCTCAGTGTTTTCATAGTCAGGAACTTTAGAATCTTCTGTTGTACAAGTAACACCAGTCAACATTCCTGTGAGGTATTTATGGTCAAATTGTGTTGAATCTCCAGTGTCTGAGTTCATCATTGCTACAACTGATGCGTAGAAGTTGGACTCAAGGTTTTCTGCCAAGTGCTTCATCTCGGAAGATTTATTTACAATGGCTTGGTATTCTTCTGCAAAATCTGCAGTAACATGTTGGAGATGTTTTCGAAGATTGAGGATTTCTTCTGGTGAACCTTTGACCACAGTGGCATTTGCATCCATTATGGCAGCTTCAGTCTTCTGAATTTGATCAACGATTTGATTCACAGTGGCTGTAAGTGTCTCTTTTCCAGTGCTCGTTTCTTTGTCAGCCATCATCAATAAATTTTGTGCAATCTTGTCAATAGTGTCACATAGTTTCTGTTTCCTGGTCATCATGTCACATTTGATCTGTGATGTCTTTTCAGAAAGGAGGTTTTCTTCTCCAGAAATGTCTTTTTGTAAGTCTTGAAGTTGTATAAGGTCATCTTGCATTTTTTGCAGTTGACTTTTGATGGTCTTAGAAGCGGCTTTGGTGGCAGAGAGAAGGCTGACTGTTTGGTGACCTTGGTGTTCTTCATCTTGACATTGTATGCACAGCAGTAGTTCGTCGTCTTTGCAAACATTTATAATTGTTTTTTTGTGTTTTTGACACAATGGCTTGTAAATTTCATCCTTTGCTGCTGCTTTATCAAAAGTGGGCTTCGGGGGCACTTTTGGTGGCACATTTATTTTTTTTAGAGTATGCTTCTGCATTATTTTGTGTTGGTGAATTGTTTGAGAGCAGTTGTTACAAAGCTCACTGTGGCACTGTTCACAGGTGATCTCTGCAGCATTAATTTCACAGTTGTTGCACTTTGTACTTGCAGCCATCTCAGCCTTGCTTGTAATGTATTCTGGAAAAGATATAAGTTGTCATAAGTTCATAATATTACTGCTAAATATATTGTTACTGCCAGAGCAGTGTTTTATAGATAAATCTTATTTCTTTACTTCGGACGCGCTACTCACTTGTTTGTCGCATCGGTGTTGAATAACAATTGTTTTTAGCGCGCTTATGATAATGATGGGATAGAATGTGATTCCATGTGGAATGAGATCNGTTTAAATGTACCATTGATTTTTATGGTATTATAAGTTAAATATGATATATAAAATGGAATATATTTCTATTAGTTGTTTACAATGTATTTATTGTGAAATATTAATCTCATACAAACAGCTGTTATCCCTTTAATTTGTTTAACAGATTGAAAGAACATATGCTTTTCAGAATTTTCTTCTCCTATTTCTGTACGTCATACTAGAATTTTACCATGCCACACAGTGAACTCCCCCATCTCAACTTATATTTCATGAAACTCCTACATAATTAAGTTGACTGCAGACAGAATTTGAGTTTCCAGTTACCCTATTTCAGTTGATAATAAAATTAAAATACTACCATTTTTATAAGTAATGCGCAAGGGTTGTCAAATGAGAATTGAGTATTGAAGCTGTTTGAAACCTAGAGTGACATGTAATGTTTGAAACTTATAGTAACTTTACAGCTTTGTATGTATATAACATTGTAAAATTAACAGGCCAATATATCTGAACAAGACCTCAGATTTGGCTCTACGTGTAACTCTGCAGAAAAGAAAGGATTTTATGCCTATTTAGACATTTCTCTAGCCAAATATGGGAAGTGAAAGTAATATTTACTTAAAGTTACATTCCATGGGGTTTTCCCGCCAAAATTAATATCAAGAGATTCTCTGCACTCCTAGTAAGTGATTTAGGGACCATTCACACAGATATTTGTATTGATCTATCTCCCTGGGGAGTCTCACTTAATTGCTATCAACGTAACCGGCTTAAATATCTGTCATGCCTAGTAAAGCTCTTTGAGGGTAATTGTCTTTTACCCCATAGCTGATTCCGTAGGCATGACAGACATTTAAGCCGGTTAGATGATAGCTATTTAGTGGGAACTCAGTCTTAGTTATCCCTCCTAGACCAAAGTTTTTCACGAGGTAAAAATGCTGTTTCCAGCATTACTTACATAACACGTACATGTTGTTTATCCAATGTATTTTTCTTTCACTGCACTTTCATTGCCATGGTGCTGTTTCATGCAACCAGAGGTAAGCAGGTGCCTTTTTTGCTGTTATCAGTATTAACCTAATTTTTCAGCATTCAGCCTCATACTTGGCAAGTGGAAATGATAAGCAATGAGCAGGACGCAGAGGTATCAAGTATTTATCACATAAGCTGTAAACCTCCTGTGGATGAAATGTATTCAGAGCCCGGTAAGTGCTTGTGTTTATATTTCAGTATCCCTACGAGGTGAAGGTTGTTAAACAACAATAAAAGTAGGTTATTGGTTCACATAAAGTGATTGGGTGTTCCTTATGGAATGAGGAAGTTCTTTTTTTTTTTTTTTTCAAGAAAGGGTTTTGTTTCTATTGGAATTGTAAACATTTTCACTTTAAAGAAATACCAAGGGTAAATATTTTATTAAATAGAATTTTTAGTGATATATTTGATTACAATTAAAACAAAATTGGAGTGGGAATGTTTGAGCAACAGCAACATTTTGCACTATTTTCACGGTCAGTTTTTTGTGTTTAATTGCTACAAACCATGACCGTAGGAACTTCTATATTTCAGACACAGAGACCTCTTCAGACCAACATTTATTATACTACTTCACACGGATGGATTCAAGTGTTCATATTTGGGAATGATCAACAAGGAAACAGACTATTTATTAGGAAGTGCAAAATGTACATAATAATTATAATTATTGCTACTTTTAAAAGAAGAGGATAGTACGTTGAAGGGTTATAATTTAACTTTAATTTGTGTTAAATTTTATTTGAAAATTTAATTGAACGTAAATGTGTGACAACATTTTGTAAAATTCACACAAATTTTTTTTTCAAATACAAACAAACATCTTGAAAAAATACTGTAGATATTTTATTGCCAAGTGGATGCTTTTTACTAAAAATTCTAAAATGCTCAAAGCAGTATATTGACCTAAAACAAAGATTATGCTTAGTGAATCCAGGTATATTATGTATGTGTCCTTTATACAGGCATCCCTTAGTCCTGTGACTGTATTGCTTTTTTTTTTTTTT